AGAGACCGACAGAGACCGACAGAGACGCGGACAGAGACACAGACAGAAACACAGAGAAAAACACAGACAGAGACACAGACATAGACACGTACAGAGAAGAGAGACAGACAGAGCCTAGCTAACTCGGTTAGCCTGGACCCGCTGGAAGGAAGGAAGGAAGGAAGGAAGGAACGAAGGAAGGAAGGAAAGGAAAGGAAAGGAAAGGAAAGGACAGGAAAGGAAAGGAAAGGAAAGGAAAGGAAGGAAGGAAGGAAGGACAGGGTGTCCTCTTCAGGGGGTTACAATGGTCTCAAGCAGGGGAACGAGGCGTTGCGAGGACGGGCCAACGTGCGCCACGGGGGTAGGCCTTCGGGCAGGGGTGCATTCACCCCATACCCCAGCAAGCAAGCAAGCAAGCAAGTCAGCAAGCAAGCAAGACAGACAAAGAAATAGAGAGAGACAGAGACAGACAGACCGACAGGCAGGCAGGCAGACAGACAGACAGACATTTTGGCTCAAGTCGACTGACTTTTGCATGCTGCCAAGTGTGGTCCAGCTGAGGTGAGATGTGATCGCACACAGATTTGCGAAAACGGCTTGGTTGCAGGCAACGCCACGACGGATGAAGAATGGGGCATCACCATCGACACGGCTGGGCGGCAGCGCACGCTTTCACAGATAATGACGAACGAGTTCTTGATGGTCACCTTGGGAATCGATGTGGCAAGACACAAGCAGGTAATGCAGGATGCAATGACCCTTTTTGAAGACACTCTCGAGGACCTGCACGTAGGGAACCCGCAGCTGCAGATCATTCCAGCCCCGAGCGAGGATGTGCGTGAAACCATCGAAAACGAACTGACAGAGAAGAAGCTCGCAATGTATGAGCTGCTGAATGACAATGTAGACTTGTCCACAGACGTCTCGGAATCAGTTCTCCACTCTTTGTATATTCAAAATCAGCAGCTGTTCGATCTCTCTAACCAGGTGGTGAGCCTCCTTGTCGATGCAGCCCAGTCTGCCGGCGCACGCTTGAATGGCTTGCTTGCAAACACGGCCGGACGCCAGCGGTCTCTCATTCAGAAGATGTTGAAAAACGTGTTGTTTGTCGCCAAGCGGGTAGATGTGGAATCTAACGTGGAAGAATTGCGCAACAACCTCGATGTGTTTGAAGCCAGCCACAGCGCCATCCTCCGCGGTGCCGAGTGGGCTGGTATTCCTCAGCTGACTCGCATGTGCACTATACATCAAATGAAGTCAGTCACGTTTTACTACCAGGAAGTCCGGGGTTTGGCTCGCAAGGTTTTCAATGCACGGTCACAGGCCGAAAGCATTGATACCGCATTGCTTGTGGCGAGCAACATGTCTGCGAACGTCGACCCGCTTGCTGTCGCAATGAGCGAGGCAGTCAAACTTTATGTGAATGACCCTGGTGACTGTGACCCCCTGGCGACGATCACAGACAGTAGTTTGGTCAGCAATACGGCCCGCAAGTGATTGCTTTCGAAGTCTCGTCAGTGGCAGTGCCATGCACGCCTCCTTCGAACGCTGAGGTGAGTGGGCCAAATTGCTGGATGGCCTTGCTGAGCAACAGATCACCAGTCAGAAGATAGCTCGGCTTTACATGCAAGTCGCGAACAATGTCATGGTCGAGCAGAGCACCTTGGCAGGGTGCTGACATGTGTTCGATAGTCACCATGAGGCGCAGACATTACTCGAATTACTCACTCCAATTCTCAACTTAAGACCCTCAAAGCACTCCAGAGGACCTCGACTATGAGTGATCGCCATGTTTATGCCTTCCCCGAGGCAAGGTGGACCTCGCTGTGGAAGTCACCAGCAATACGCAGCACCTTGGCAGATCCCTTTCGCTTGTAGGCTTCCAAGGGCTCCAAGAAGCGTTACATCTCCGCAGCGCGGTCTCCACTGCCTCAGTCTGGGAGGGTTTACCGGGGCAGGGAAGTACCACCCCCATCCCCCCTCTAGGGAGAAATCAAAGGTTCTTGATTGCTAGTATTATTAGTTTTATCAGCATGACTACGAGTATTAGTCGTATTATGAGTATATTATATTAGTCCGACTAGTATATTAATATTAATATGCTGATGATTATTCTTATTCTTATCATTACCATTACCATAATTATTGCTATTGCTGTTATGTTATCAATATCATAATCTGTATTGATAGCAGTAATAGCCGAGTAATAGTATATAGATTACAATATTAATCTTATCATTATTACCAATACCAGTACTTGTGAAAGGCAATTCTAATTCTAATGCTTTTATAGCAGGAAGAGCTGAGATAGCGGCCCCCAAAAAACTGAAACGAACGTAAAACGCAATTGAAATGCTTTCCGGCTCAGAAGGAAGAAATCATGGTTTGAGCTGCCTGCGATCTTCTTTACACAGCCTAAAGCGATTATCCCGATCTTGTTTGCAAATCTCCAACAGCATGAGCTCTGGGGTCGATTGGGGCAAGGCCTGGGGCAGCAGGTTCTGAGCTGGGCAGGTTCGCGGTTCGGGAAGCGCAGTCATGAGAGCTGAACTTCTGTGGGCTCGGACATTCAGGCGATTTCACAAGTCCTGATGCAAAAAAGGGCAGGCCCGGTTTCCTTTCATTGCATCCACGCTCCACATGTTTTCGTGAGCCTTGCAAATCGCGCGCAAGTGACATTTCAGGATGCATTTTTCAAAGCTTGGAAAGCGCACTCGGAGCTGTTTCAGCTTTGCCGGTGCCCTGGCCCCACTCCGAGGCAATTGAGCTCTCGAAGCCACCGACCGAGCCCAAATGCATTTCCCAAGGCCCACTAAACGGATCTGGCTTTTGTTTTAACAAATATGGAGTTCAATCCGAAAACCCGTATTGAAAAGGCCTTCCAGTTCTTTTCGGTTTCGCCCCTCCGGCCCGCGGGCCCCCAGCTTCTGTGCCACCCATCCAAGCCCGCCGGCCCCCAGCTCCAGAACCGCATCCAAACCCCAGCTCCAGACCCTGTGCCGCCCATCCAAATTCGCGGGCCTCCAGCTCCAGAGCCGCTTGCCACCCATGCCGCCAGGCGCGTTCGTGTTGCTTTTGAAAAGAGGACGCCGACATTGCTTGTTTGGGGAATAACAACAACAACAACAACTACTACTACTACTACTACTACAACAACAACAACAACTACAACTACTACTACTACTACTACTACTACTACTACTACTACTACTTCTACCATTACTTACTACTGCTACTTCGACTACTACTACTACTACTACTACTACTACTACTACGACTACGACATACTAGAACTACTAGTACTACTAGTACGATCATTCTCATTATTATTGTGATCGCGGGCGGGTTTATGGAAGGGGCACCCCTCCCAAGCCTTAAGCTACGGCTCCCAGAAATTGGGAACTCTCCAAGAAAGGCTCAACCATGCCTGAGCACATGAAAGTCGCCGGAATGTAGCGTGTGGTGTTCGTGATGTCCGAATCGTACCCATCTTTGCCTTTGAAGTTATTGCGATGTCGAAGAAGTCAAGTCAGCTGATGATAACACTTCGAGCTCCAGCGCGCTGATGTGAAGCGACTGCGAGTGATCCCCAAATCTTGATAGCATTTGTCGCAGGTTCGCAGCATGAGGCGACATAGCAGGTAGGACGACATTGGCTGTTCGGCTGATGTTCTCAGCCTCTGCTCAGCCGATCCGTTGCAGCTGAGGAGTCTCACAGACTTGTTGGAGGGCAGCCAAGCTAGTGGAATGCCGGCTCCCCCTACGCAGGAGCGGGCACTACTTCTGCTACTACTACTACTACTACTGCTACTACTGCTTCTACTACTACTACTACTACTACTACCACTACTACTACTACTACTACTACTACTACTACTACTGCTACTACTGCACTTACTGCTACTGCTCCTGCTCCTGCTCCTGCTACGACGACTACTA